GGAATGAAGGTGCAACTGTCCTGTGCGGAGGAACTCGTCCTAAGGTACATGACAGATATATAGAGTATAGACTAATATTATATGTATGACCAAATTCTGTTTAGACCCCATAGCACTTAAAAAAAATGTTTTGTTTATGTTCCACAGCATTTAAAGAAGGGATATTATGTTGAACCTGCGATAATTTCAAATGTGACTACTTCAATGGAAATCTGGAGAGAGGAAGTCTTTGGTCCTGTTCTGTGTGTCAAAACATTCTCCACCGAGGATGAGGCAATTCAACTGGCAAATGACTCCCAGTGAGTTTAGATTTTTCTTCTATATCTTTAACAAGAAACTCTGCTGATAATTTATCTGATTTTATTTGTATTTGCAGATACGGATTAGCTGGCGCTGTATTATCAAATGATCTGGAGAGGTGTGATCGTGTTAGTAAGGTGAGTATCTAAGTTTACTATTAGCGAAAACATCACTAACCGCACACATCGCATGAATAAACTTCATCTCTTGATTTTATAAATCCTGATCATTTTGTTTTCAGGCTTTCGAGGCGGGAATTGTGTGGGTCAACTGCTCTCAGCCATGCTTCACCCAGGCTCCATGGGGCGGAACCAAACGCAGTGGGTTTGGCCGTGAATTAGGAGAATGGTAAGTCTCTTATTAGTTACAAAAATTGAATATATATATTTTTCTCCCTTGGTGTAGAATTGAAAGTTTGAAACATATTTGGTTCGTTGCAGGGGACTTGAGAACTACTTAAGTGTGAAGCAGGTGACTCAGTATATCTCTGATGAACCATGGGGATGGTACAAAGCTCCTTCCAAGCTCTGAGACAACACTATACTTCCTCCTCATGTTTCCCTGAATGATGTAATAATGAGAGTATACCAAAATAAGCAAGAGATTCTCCTGAAAGAGAAACTGTTTTTTTACTTTGAAATTCTGTAAAAATAAAAGAAGATGGGATGATATTTGTTTTATTTTGGTTTCTCTCAAAAACAATTGCAATACACCTCTATATAAAGATACAACTGACATCAGAATCAAGCAAAAGATGATTGCTATAACCTACAGTGACTTGAGAAGCACAGAGGTTGTGCAATCGGCAAATTAATGTCGGATTCCTGCAGTTACAATTATGTGGAGAAACTAAAACCAGTGTTTAAAAGAAATGTTCACAGGTAAGAGAAGAAAAAGATGAATGTCTCTAATGGTGTTGTGATGTATTCTTCTGGGTGACTTCGCTGTACCATGCCTTCCAAGCGTCCATGTAATGGGCAAAGAGGTCTTTCAAAACTGAAATTTTGTTCAGAAACACAGTTATTTCATATGTTTGCTTTATATCGAAAAAAAATCTTGTCAAATTGGATATAGTATCAAATGGATGTGAGTAATGAATGCTACCTTGATTTTGGTAAGAGGGACGGTAATCCGAAACCAGATTCTCCACATCAAAAGCTCTCCTGGAGTTGTCCTCCAAAGCAGGAGTTGGATATGTACCAGTGGCTGGTGCAAAAGGACCAAACTGGTAACCTCTTGATCCATGTCTTGATTCATGAGCATCAAAGCTTTTGTCATAAGAACTCTCTGCTACTGCGTGTTTTTTCATCTTTAGCCTCCTCTCTGAAGCATTTTCATGGGTTTTGCTTCTCTTGACATCAACGTTTGTAAGATCAGTTCCAAAAACTCTTTTTCTTGATTCGGCTTGCATCAAATCGTGGCTCAGTGTGAACGTAGGCTCACCATTGTATCCTAACCATTTGAAAGCTGGTTTTCTAGAATCTAAGGTGTGAGTCTGTCACCAGAGAAAACAGAAAGTAGTAAGACTAATTACCAGCTACGGATCATAGATGGTTCACAAATACTGAAGCTTAATTAGTTTTAGTTTACCTTCTCAATGAGATTCATTGATGACAAGACATTCGCAATATCATAAAGCCGCCTCACTTTTGCTGCAGTAAAGTAATCAATATGTCAACAAACTCATACATCAAGTTATTCTCAAGTGAGTATGCAACATATGTAAATAAAAGAGTCTAAAAGTCACAAATTGAAGATAATTACTTCTCATAATCGATGTATTGTGGGCATCGCCAAGCAGTAATTTTGCAGCCTCGTCAAGGGAGATGATCTTAGCCTAAACAGTTAAAGCACATTGAAAAAAAAATCTTCAGCAACTTGGTGAAAAACTCTTAATTTGTAAAAAAGAATATTTAACATCGCGCTTACTTCTGAGCAAACAAAGAGCTTGATAAAGTTCTGAGTAAGCAGTCCTAAAGATTTCTCTCGACGATTATCTGTCACACATGACCAACCTGTTCAATCTCATGAATTCAATCTGTTCTTTGGCATAAAGGTCAAGAGCTACTTATAAGTTGGACACTGAATCTACTTTGCAACCCAAACACACACAAAAAAACAGTACCTATTTTTGACGAATCTGAAGATTGGGGAAGAGAGCCAGGCTTTGAGCTATCAGTCTGGCTACTAGAATGAGGCTGAGAAGAC